TCTCTCTCTCTCTCTCTCTCTCTCTCTCTCTCTCTCTCTCTCTCTCTCTCTCTCTCTAAGGATACACTGTCATACACATGTTCATCTCCTGCTTCGTTGTGCTTCTGTTGTAATGCATGTGTCTGCTGTCAACTCGTCTTTGCAGAAGTTGTCGCGAGTGAGAACCTTGAAGGGACACTTGTTCGGAGTCGCGCGCAATCAGGACATTGTCGTAGATGTCCGGGAGGTCTTGGAATGCGTGAACGGAGCAGCAGAGTCACAACGTGGTGCACTGGGCATTGCTCTGCAACAGAAAAGAGGAAACGAAGTGAAATGTGTCAGTGCTGTACACCAGAAAAAAGAAAACGGAGTGGATTATGACACTCTTACCTCATCCACAATGCTCTCTCTCTCTCTCTCTCTCTCTCTCTCTCTCTCTCTCTCTCTCTCTCTCTCTCTCTCTCTCCTTTTTCTTTGAGTGGCATGCTTACGCACGGAGCATGCAGATGTTCTCGATATGGTTCCACGGATGTCTCCAGGACGTACGTGCGTCTTATCAGCATAGCCGAATTATAAATCATTTATTTGTCAGGCGGTCTTTTCTGCATTTTGTAATTCTTGTGAAGTGAGTAAAGCCCCAAGTCCCATTCTCTGCCGTCTTCCTCTCTACCCCCACTTTCTGTGTTTCTCTCCCCGCTCACTGCCAATCGCTGGTCGCCCCGTCCTTGTTTCTCTTCATCTCTGTCATACTTGACCTCGCAAGGTTAATAAACATATCATATATTTTCAGCCACATTCGATGAAGTGATGAGGGAGGAGGGAGGGGGCAGGGTGGGGAGGGGGAAGAAGACGAAAAGATTGATCAAATGCCAACTTGTATGTCAATGACTTGTATGGCAAGCAATGATCTATCACGCCCAACCAACCAATTTTTAATTGCAATCATAGGTTCGTGTTTAATCAACGTCTGCCAATCAGCCGGTTTGGCATGATTACTGCAAATGTCACATCAGCAACTGCCAATTACTCAGTGAACGACAAATCAATCAATCAATCGATCGATCAATTCATCAAATTAGATCAATCAACTAAATATCAATCAAACTGTGCACGCCACAGTTTTGGAGGGATACTTACACGAGGACTGTCCTGGACGCATCTGACGGCGTTTACGACCCCACCTCCACAGATGACAAGGTCCTGCTGTGAGTATGCCTTGAGTCCCAACGGCGATTTTTGTTTCCTGTTTTCTTTGTTTGACGCTTCTCTCCAACTTTCCGTGCGCACCCCCCCCCCCCCCCCCCCCCTCTCTCTCTCTCGCTCGCTCGCGCACGCGCGCGTCAGTCCGTATCAAAGTAAGACTACCAACAAGCTCAACTCTCGCCAAGCGCAGATCAATGTAGCCATGAGCATCCCCATCTGATCATCTTCCCTTTCACGTCATCATCATTATTATACTGTCCTCTTTCCTTTCGTTTTGATTTGTTATGCTAATCTGCTCTATAGAAAGAGACGGAAAGGGAGAGAGAGAAGACCCAACACACACACACACACAGCGCGCGCGCGCGAGAGAGAGAGAGAGAGCATACCTTAGTCTGGCATCTTAGCTGAGGAAAAGCAGTCGGTTCGACTCGGTTGCAAATCGGAATCCTGAATGGACCACGCCGACCCGAACCCTTCAAGGATTGTTGCGAAGTGATGATCGCTGAGTTCGCCGTCCTCGCGACCACCCTCGCTGAGTGACGATTACAGCTCCCAAGCTTTGGCGACTTCACTCATGGTTGTCCTACACAATGCATCTCTCTCTCTCTCTCTCTCTCTCTCTCTCTCTCTCTCTCTCTCTCTCTCTCTCTCTCTCTCCCGATATAGAGGAGCGGGAGCACCTCTCTCTCTCTCTCTCTCTATCTATCTATCTATCTATCGATCTATCTATCTATCTCTATCTATCTATCTATTAATCTATCTATCTACGGACATGAGACGACGCGAGCGGGCAGCAAAAACAACGAACAGCAAATTCTCCCATAGGGCTGTGCTCAAGGTAGCCCAATCTTCACCCCTGATTGGAGGAGCGTTTCTCAGAGTTCGCTGCCTGGCGGCCATGCCAGCGTAATATCTTCTATTATTCTGGTATTTAGTTTCTCCCTTACACCTCGTAGGTGCTTCAGCTGAGCTCTTAGTTCTTAGGGGCTGATCCCACTTTCCACTAAGGAGCTGCCGAAGTTGTCGTATAAGGGCCTCGCTCCCCACACGCGGTGTGAAAAGAAAACGGGACCCCACACAACCGCATCCGTCGGAGGTTTCACTAAAGACCTGGCGACTTCCTTTGGGCGCTCCGCAGACGGACACACGGGTTGAAATTGAGGCTGTCACGCGGAGGACAATCGGGTCGCACAAGGCAGTAACAGCTACCAGGGGCGTGGTCCCACTAGCAAAGAGGATCGGATAGAATGCCTTAATTTGGACGAATTTATGGAGATGTCCAGGAAATCGAGATTGAACTGCTTTTCTGCACCTCTGCCTAAAGCACATCCAGATTCAGGAGCTCATTCCTATCCCTTCTGCTAGTGGGACCTCGGCCCAGGCCCTTGCGCCAGACACCGACTGGGAGTTGCCAGCTCTGCCCGACAGGCACACGAACTCCGAATTTATTTATTTATTTATTTATTTATTTATTTATTTATTTATTTATTTATTTGCAAGGCTACCAGAGTGGCCCGGGTCCACTTGCCCGGCCGGGCGAAAAAGAAATAAAAAAATAAAAATAAGTTAAAATAACAACATCATGTTTTATTTAATTTTTTTTTTTTTTTATTTGGTGAAGAATTTGGATGTGAAGCTGAGGCAAAGGTTGTTAGGGTAGGGATTGGGATCATTGGTTTTCGTAACCTTGTGAGGCTGTGGTGGGGATAGGTTTGGCTGGGAGTGCCTTACTTAGCCCATTTGACCGCAGCAAATGATGTACGGGCCGTTTCCTGGATATATGAATATGAATTGTTTTATCTTTAAAAAAAAAGAAAAAAAGTTGTTCAGTTTATTTTTCTGCATAACATAGTTTGTTTTCGAATTTTTTGGATTTTTTTTTTTTTTTTGGGCTGGGACCTTCCCTAGTCCTTGCACGGCCGGGCGGCCCGGCTGGTAGCCTAGTTTATTTATTTATTTATTTATTAATTTATTTATTTATTTATTTATTTATTTATTATACAAACTGTGATTTTTTTTTTTTTTTATTATTTATTTTTTAATTGTAATGTGGCCCGATGGACCACGGATCAGATATTAAACTGATCAGGACAGATACTAGACTTGATCTTAGGGTGGGACCCCACAAGAAAAAGATTGGAAAAAGCGGTCCGCCACGGAAAACGGGAAAAGTTTTCTGGAAAGCTGGAAAACAGTTTTGTGGGGCCCCCACTGCGGTGTACGTTTTGCGGCAAAATGGATGAAACCTTTTCCGTTTCAGGAAAGCGACTTCTCCGCCTTCCTAGAAAGGAAATTGGTGTGGTGTCCGGGTGGCGCCTATAGACGACCAAACACATGACCGGCCGTGTCCTGCATGAGTGCCGCGCGAATTAAAAATGAAAAAAACGGACAGTCGCTGGTCCGTTTTTGAAAACCAACCTTGGAAAGTCGGCAGCACTCGCCACCCCTCGACCTCTGCGATCGGCACATTTTCGCGGCGAAAATCGCTCCGCGACCACTTTTCCAAGGATGCAACCATGTGGAAACAGAATCCGTGATTCTTCCAGGCCACGAAATGTGGGTAGTGGGGTCCCGGATACTTGCTTTTGGAAGACTTCCCGGTTCTTCCAGGCCATCTTCCGCCCGCTGTGGGTTCCCGGAAACGGCCTCTTGGAAAAGTTTTTCCTTGCCGCTTTTCTGTGGGGTCCCACCCTTATCCAAAACACAGTTTCCCTAGTCCCACCGGCGCTGCTGTTCTTGTCGCACACCCATGGGACCCCGGACATTCCACGGGGACCAGCCGGACACAAAAGCATAAAATAATCATTCTGAGAATCCCTCCTTTTTGGTGGAAGAGTACGGGTTGCGTTTACTTAGGTTTCCCCACACATTTCTGGGGCTTAGGTAGTTCCCTAGCATCTGTTTCCACATGACTCCAAAAGGTTGCGAGGTTGCGAGCGCCCTGGAAACTCACCGTTTTACTTGATGGGAGTACTGTGGGATCCGGCCCTTAATTTCACCTATTGTCCCTTTGTCATTCATGTGACGGAAGAGTCCAGGAATGTAGAGACTGCGCCCAATGGCCCAATTATTCCTGCTAATTTGCTAAACTTAATTCTTTTTTTTTTTTTTTTTTGCTAAACTTAATTCCAGTTCAACAAATTGTAAGAAAAAAGGGATAATTTGCAAAACATCCTAATAAGTTGAGATATATGCCAAAATGCCCCTGAAAGATGTGGGTAGAGAGGAATTCCCTTTTGGGCCGAAATCTTTGTGTTGTGCCCCTGTCAGGCGGGTGTGCAACTTTGCAATCTGGACCTCCCCGTTTGGGCTTTGGCCTTCTGCAATAGCGCCTACCAGGAGAAGTTTGCAAGTACTGGGGCATTTTGCAAAGTTAGACAGTACCCGGTAGGGGTATACTGCAACTGACGCCAGGGATGTTTCACAAATTATGTTTTTCGTCAGAGGGGCATTCCGCTCTACCCCCATCTTTTAGGGTCATTCTGGCATATATCTCAACTTATGGCCCTTATTTGGGTATTTTGCAAATTATGCCTTCAAAAAAACAAAAAAAAAGAGAGCCTAGTCAATCTTTAGATTCTTTACCATTCCGTCGTGGCTGACTGCATCATGTAGCTCGTGCCAGCTCCCAGTTATATAAGTGCGCAGCTAAGCCAGGTCATGCTCACGTTCTTTCAAAGGGGAAAAAAAAAAAAAGTGTCAGCTTATAACGTGCTCGATCAAGACATTGCTCATGAAATATCGCCATCTCATGCAGAGCAGCGTCCCACTAGCATCGAGTAAATCGGTGTGTGGCGTTCTTTTGTCATAAACAATGCTTTTTATCATTTACACGAATGCAAAGAAAAGGACCCAAAAAACGAAAAAATACGGGGCCTGACATCGACATCATGACAGAGCTTCAGTGCATCCACAATTCCACCAACCCGGTACATCTGCATGCGACCTTCCCGCCGGCCTGTTCGCAGTCTTCCACGGAAATCTCAATATTCTCAATTTTACCACATAAAAAACGAAAACAACATCGATGCAAAAACGCCCCCTCCCTCGGACCTCCCTAATATTGCAGCGTCGCGCCAACGCAAAGTGGCTAGCTAAATGGGGAAAAAAATGAAAAGGAAACTCTTCTATTGGCCGGCGGACAAATACCCTAACCAAATCGGTCCTTGTCGCCCTGCGCCAACGATACACAAAAGGATCAATGGTGGCCAGATGTCACCTCTCGCCGCATGTCGTTGAAAACCATGGAGCCGAAGCGTAAATCGACGCTAGTGGGACGAGGCTCCAGGGTAAGAATATGATCTTTGCTAAACCCAAAGACTGCAACTGGTTAAGAATACATTATTCGGCCAGTGCGGGAAAATCCGTGTGACAGTCTGAATTCAAAGAAAAAAAGAAAAAAGGAAGGCAGGGGCCATGTCCCACTTGCACCGTTGAGCTAGCTCATCGTTGAGTATTCTATTACGTGTGACCTGGGGCGACTCACACGATCACACGAGGAGCGGGGCATCGGGCGGTTGAATTTATTTGTGAAATGATAAACGACTTTCGGTTTTTTTTTTGGGTCTAAACGAAGGGGAAAATGTGGCCGCCCCCGATTAGAACGCCCCCTACCCTGGCCCACTTCCGTTGAACTAGCTGCCTTTTCAAAAACGGGGTAGGTAGTTCAACGGTGGCTGCTCGGATAGATTTCCCCCGAAAACAAACAATTATCGGACACAGGTTCATGATTGCCGTCGTGCCAGGCGCCGTGATCGGCGCGTAGTGTCAGACTACACTCCGTAAGCACAGCGCATGAGGTTCTTCACAGATTCGGGCACAGGGAGTAATGATAAAGATTTCGCCTTTACTTCTTTTATTTTTCAATATATTCACAGAATACAAAAAATTGTCGAAAAGGTCTTTATGGAATTGACAAAAAATGCGAGAAAATAGTTTTTTAATCACGAAAACCGTGTCGCACTGTGGGTAGCTAGCTCAACTCAACGGTGCAAGTGGGACATGGCCCCAGGGGAAGGAGGACCTGGGGTCTGGCCGCCTGGGCCCACTGCCATCTTCGCCATAAAACACACTGTCAGTGATCATGAATGTATACACATAGATTTGAGACCAGATATGCAGCCAAGACAAATGTGCATTGCGTTCAGGGGAAGACCGTACTAGGGCAAGACACTGCATGTAATCTGTTGCTGACTGTAGGCTGCGTTCATTGCGACCTGGTGGGCCCGGGCTCCTTCACTGGTTTTCCTTTTTTTCTTTTAACTGAGGGTGTCGTTAGACACTCCTCGGGGATGTGAAACCCACAAGGACACGCTCGTTGTTGTTTTTCTTTTTTTTTCTTTTTTTTTCTGTTTTTTTTTTTGAAACAACGGCGGACGCGGCATGTTTTGAGTTCCTAAAAGGCAAGAAAAACAGGCCTTCGGCGACTCTGTCAGGGCCTGAGTTCGAAAAGGCATTCGTAACTCAGGCGGGCAGTGGTGTCAGGGCGGAGGTTTC